ATGTATTAAACGTGGATCTGTAAATGCACTCTTGACTGTGCTGTCACAATGTTCAACCCTTGAGCACTTAGGACCAGCTGATGCCCAGTATTGGTGCCTTCTCGGTCCTTCCAATGGAGCCCTGTCTGTGGATCTCATATGTCAGGTGACGTCTGGAAAACATGGAGCCTAAAACTGGTTTATTGGATGTAATAAAATCAGATACGTTGTTGTTGTTTTAAATCGTTAAGAATATGGCGCTTGATGCGTTTCTATAAATCTTTCTTCGAAGCTAAATCTGTGGTACCAGTACTCTTATCAGCAGGTTAACCAAGAATTAATGATATTACGAGTAGGGTGTCTCACATAAAATCTTTTAGTCTTTGATCTATAGCGATGGATAAGCTTGCCAATACAAATCAGATTTTTTGGTTGGCATCAAAACGTTCAGTCGAAACTATCCTTGCCTTTCCGCCATTATGCATCGAGGGGACCGTTCATTAGACCGAGCTCATCATAACCTCAAAAATATATGCATGCATGTATATATATATATATATATATATATATATATATATATATATATATATATATATATATATATGTGTGTGTGTGTGTGTGTGCGTGTGGTGTGTGTGTGTGTGTGTGTGTGTGTGCTGTGTGTGTGTGTGTGTGTGTGTGTGTGTGTGTGTGTGTGTGTGTGTGTGTGTGTGTGTGTGTGTGTGTGTGTGTGTGTGTGTGTGTGTGTGTGTGTGTGTCTATGTTTGTGGATGGATAGAATCAGTTGGGTGAAACACGTATCATTATTTATGATCCCGAGATAAGACGTGATAGATGTGCGTATTCCTGAACCATTAAATTTTGATCTTTAATTGCCACTCGTGTGCATACAAAGAAAACGGCCCCTGCCATAGAAACGAGTCCAAAACAAACAGGTTCTCCGCGGAGACTCGCTATGCCAGGCCAGACGTGATGGCACGGAGAGTTACTCTTACGTAAGCTCATGGCATTCACTACAAAAAAACAGATGAACAACAACAATAAAATATCATAATTACATGTGTTACATTATTTTAACTCTCACTCTCTCTTTCTCTTCCAACCAAGAAAAGAATAATTGAGATCGATTAAGCGCTGCAGAGATGGTCCCATGCAGCAGCAGTCGACCCCTGAAGGTCACTGAGACACGAATCCTCTCTGATGAGCGAACGCCTTTGGCTCCACCTCCGCCCCCGTGGCCATTGTAAACAGGGCCTTGGGAATATGCAAGTAAGGGAGTTATGATTTCATGCTTTGATTGGGCCGCCGGGACGCAGAGATCGGCTCTTGGGGTTAGAGGAGACCCATGAGAGAAGGGTAGGTTGTCCTCTCGGGTTGGGTTTTTGTTTACCCGTCTCTGTTTGTTTGTATGTTTGGGAGGGCGAGGGAGAGAGATGAAGGGAGGATGGGGAGAGAGGGAATGAAGAAAGGAGAGAGAGAATGAAAGTGCGAGAACGAGAATGAGGGAAAGAAAGAGGGATGGAGGGAGGGTGAGAGAGGGATGGGAAAGAAAAGGGAGAGACAGAGCTTCAGAGAGAGAGAGAGAGAATGAATGTGTACGTGGGTGTGTCTCCGTGCCATTGCAGGAGGGTATTTAAGTTGACAATGAATTATCTGACTACTTCATGTTGTGCCTGCGCGTCTGTTTGTATGTGTGTGGGTGTGTACGTGCGCATGGTCGGGTGTTCACTACACACATGCAAATAAACGCGCAATGTTTACTGTACGTGTACATATAAAGCATTTACATACGCTGGCCATGAACCCTCATCCACTTCGCATCCAATCACCAGTTTTTTCAAGTAAACATTAATGAGCAAGTCAGTCCAGTCAGCTGTGGATGACGTCATGCCTTGTTGCCACGTACTGGCCACGCTGACACCTCCCTACATAGCAACCGGACCCGAACTGCCATCCGAGTCCCGACCGACACCCGCTCCTCCGCTCTCCGTTTCCGCGTTCTGAATACTTTCACATTCACTCCAACATGTATGCAAGGGTTATGTGAGAACGCTGGGAGACGGAAGCGGTCGGCAAACTCAGCTGACTTTCACACTTGTGGAGGGAAGACAGCTGTTTTAAAGTTGGATTTAAGCTCGTCGGAGAGAGGATTAGTAATGCATTTAGCTCGTTGTTTAGGGAGGTTCTAATGGGACGTCGTTCCGTTTAAACCTTGTGATGAGTGATGTTGTTATGCTATATTACAATACAGGAAAGGAGTCGTTGACATGAAAGGATGTGTGTATGCATGTGTACAACTTTACAACGTACAATAATATTAGTTTCGATGAATATAGAAATAGATCAACAAATAGATATAGACAAACTTTGCGTAGAGGTTAGTGTGTGCACGCTTATACTCATACTGAATACTTATACTCATACACGTCCATCCAGTTTTCCCTGTATTATAACACACATGCATGCATATGAATGTTGGTTTGCACCTCATGTCCCTGTCTAATAACGCATGCGACCCTCTCCGCATGTATGCCCCGGACGCGCCGCGGGCCAGACCGGTTGGCGGCCGCGGTGAACCGAGCCGCTGTCGCCGGCATAGATTACCGGTCTTGAGGCAGTCTTGAAAGATAAGAAGGAGGCGCTCGAGCGCAGGTGCGCCCGAGCTGATACACTTCCTATTGCCTGCGGCGCCGCATGCGGGAGGAAGGCGCTCGTGTCCCGCGGGCGCGGCGCCGAAGGGATGCTGCAAGGCCGCGATTGTCTGAATATTTCATCCCGGTATTGTCACTGCTTTACTACTCCCTCGGGTGTCGCTGTTTCCACTGCTATTATTATTATCAATTATCATCACGATATTTATAATATCATTATTGTCATTATAATGACTGCGATTGCTATAATTTAAAAAATCATTTAATTCTTGTCCTTGTTACCGGAATTATTATCATCAGTATTACCATCATCATTATTAGCTTTATCAGCATTATCATTATTATCATTATTAGTAGTAGTAGGATTACTATTATTATTATTACTATTATTATTATCATTGCCATTGTCATTATCATCATCATCATTATGATCATCAATAGCACCGCCATTATTATCAATAACATCATTAATATCAATATTATCATTATTATCAATATAATTTTTAGTGTCACTAGTCATTGTTATTACTGTGATAATTTTTCATTGTCATTGTTATCATTATTATTGTTCATTATTAATAGCATTATCTTTATTATTATTGCTATTATCATTATTATCATCATTATTATCTTCATTATTATCATCATTATTATCATTATTGTTAACTTTATCATCATTATTATCATCATTATTATCATGATCATTATCATTATTATTATTTTCGTTATTATTATCATTATTATTATTATTATCATTATTATCATCATCATTATCACTATCACTATCATCATAATCATTATTATTAGCAATATCATTATTACTATTACTGTTACTGTTACTATTACAATCGCTTTAACTATTACTATTACAAATAATATAAGCAATATCATAACTCTCATTACTGTCCTCAACAGCCTACTACATTAAATTTACTGTTATCATTATCATACGGCCAGTTTGTTAAAATTGTGCCAAGCCCGACCTAATGAATTTTCATAAATATAGACGCAGAAATAAAGGCATATTTGTCTATATATCTGATAGATATACCTGGTTGATATGCATATATCTGGTTGATATGGTTGAGATGCCTGGTTGATATGCATGTCTAGCCTGTTAAATATACATTTATTTCTTTATCTATGCATATCAAGTATACGAATATTCTTTGGGTCGGGCCTCGCACAATTCTAACAAACTGGCAGATAGTCATTACTGTATTAGCATCATTATGAGCATCGTTGTTAGTAGCACTGTCCTTCTCCAGTGTTTGTTTTTATCACTTTTATCGTTGTTATTGTTAATATCTCTTTAATCATCTTCATGATAATTTCATTTGGCACAGTGGTGTTGCTATTATCGCAGTCATCGTGATTATCATTACGACAATTGTTATTATTTTCTTTTCTCATCTTTTGTAATTGTTATTGTGCTCCCCTTAGGAAGAGAGAGAAAGGGAGGGAGAGAGAGAGGAGGGGGGAGTGAGATAGATACATATAAAAATAGAGAGAGAGAGAGAGAGAGAGAGAGAGAGAGAGAGAGAGAGAGAGAGAGAGAGAGAGAGAGAGAGAGAGAGAGAGAGGCAGACGACAGACAGACAGAGAGTGAGAGAGAGGGGGGAAAAAGAATATGTGTGTATGTATGTATTTATGTGTGAGTGTGAATATGTGAGTGTGTGTGTGTGTGTGTGTGTGTGTGTGTGTGTGTGTGTGTGTGTGTGTGTGTGTGTGTGTGCGTGTGTGTGAGTGAGTGAGTGAGTGTGTGAGTGAGTGAGTGAGTGAGTGAATGAGTGAGTAAGTTCGTGAGTGAGGGAGGGAATGAATGAGTGAGGGAATGAGTGGGTGAGGGGGCCAGGGAGGGAATGAGTGGGTGAGGAAGTGAAGGAGGGGGAAGGGAGGGAGGGAAGGAGAGTGAATTTCCCTTCTTTTGTATCTGTATCTCGATCATTCGATCGAGAAATCATCTGAAAATTATTCTTTAAAAAACAAAAGAGAAATCATGGTCGATAAGACAGGAAAACCTAAAAGGGTTTCAAAATCTCATAGAACAATACATTGCAGTTCTATGGTTCTCGAATCGGAATGAAGGCGGACTATCAAGCTACGCGAAACTTAGAATCAGAGACATGACGGGGAATGACTAAAGGCGTGGTAATCAGATCTTCAGGTATTTGACATGTGAGACTGTAAAGATACATTATCATTTGCTACAATACCAGATAAGATCATACGTGTGACATGCTTTAAAGCATTAAGTTGCTACCAGTTTCAACATCCACTTAAATATCGGATGCGTGACAAAGGAAAGCAATCAGATTTCAAGACGTTTAAGAAATCTCTGCAAGGAGTGCGTAAGCGTTCGTTACTCACCTCGTGGTAATTACGCCACTGGTCGAAGGTGTACCTGACGAAGACGCTCTTGTGGAAATCGAGGCTGAGCACGCGCACCACCCCGCGCACGCTCAGGTCGTCGCCCACTTCGATGTTCTCCACGACCACGCGCTGCTGCCGCACGCGCTCCAGGAAGTCGACCTGCGAGCCCGGCTGCTGGAACAAGGGCGTGAGGACGCGCGTCGGCACAATGTTCTGCGCGAACGAAGACTTCGCCGCCTCCGCCGCCTCGCGCTCCAGCTCGAGATCCCAGAAGGCGGAGCGCGGGACGTGCGGGACGCCCGCAAGGAAAGTCCTGACGGCAGCCAAATCGAGGCCCAGCATGTCCGCAAAGCGCACGATTTTCTTGCGTCCAGGTGTGCCCGGAGGCGTCTTGCCGCACTTCAGGGAGGAGGAACGCTTGATCCGCAGCTTGAAATCTTCTACTCGGGCCGGGTCCGTCTCCTCCGAGGAGGAGCGCTCGCCAGCCAGGGCTTCCTCATCCACCTCTTCGTCGCCCACTCCGTCGTCCACATCTTCCACCTCAAGTTGCGACAGTTGCGCGGCCAGCTCCTCGCCGCCATCGTCTACCTCGGAGGCGGTCGAGGACTTGCTGGACTTGGGCGACTCGCAGAAGCAGTTGTCCTCGTAGGTGATGCTCGTGGGGGAGATTCTGTCCTCGATGTCGTCTGACAGACGTCGAACGCGCTCCGTGTATCCGCGGATGTTGCGGAACTTCCCCGTGAGAATCACCTCCTCGTCAATGTCCTCCTCATTCTCTTCGTCGTCGCTCTCCTCATCTTCCCCGAGAGTCTCAATCTCTTCCGCGTCAGCGTCCATACAAAACAACTCGTCTCTCCCCTCAGCTTCCCCGCGCGACTCCATGACGGCGGGCTGTCCTTCAGAGGGCGTGTAGAGGTGAGGGTCGGCGAGCGGGGGTGTCGTGCCAGAAATAGCCTGGGGGACACTGGCAGTTTCTGGGGCGGTTTGCAGGATTATTTTCCCTTCAGTGTCAGTATCTGCTTTGTGTTCTACATCACCATCACTGCACACGGTTTCACCTTCACCACTGAACTGTGTCACTGTAACCTCCGCAAAGTACACGGTGTCCCCTTCCCCGTCGCCCAACACATCTTTGCTCTGATCTTTCTTGCCCTTGTCCCATCCCTTATCCTTGATAATTACCGCCTCACTATGTTTATACATATCACTCCTTGCATCATATCTGTCCCATCCAGCACCATCACTGTCGCCACTGACTATGTTTGTTTTGTCCACCGCGCGTTGATCAGCTGGTGGATGTGGCACTGCCGGCGGAGTGCCCGACCCGGGGTGGCACCAACGAGGGTCTGTGTTGGCTACTGGCGATGTTTCTTGCATTGATAGCGAGACGTAACTGTCTCCAGGCATAGCAGCGCCCTCTGGGATCCCATCTGCACACGATTCTTCTGGCTCTCCCCACGTGTGAGTTACAATGTAATGGGTCTCCAGGTGCCCCGAGGAACACCCACACTCACCCTCGTCATCGAAGCGGCACGCCCCGCACACGCACTTTCCTGTACCGTTTGCACTTTGGTATCTGCTGGAATCATCACACAAGGCTTTGGCATCTGTCTCTGCCGTCCTGTCCGTCGGCGAGAGGACGTCCGTTAGGGAGGCGGACGTCAGGATTTGCCTCATGACGCGGAGTTCGGCCTCCGAGGTGCACATGTTGGCCTCCGGCGAGCGAGTGTGGTCCTCTTGATCTTTTCGCTTCTCTTCGCCCTCGTCCTCGCACTCGTCGTCGAACATAACAGGCGAAGTGACGGAAGTTGCGCATCCGCTCTCGGGTCTCTCGTATCTTTTTATCACGTTATCGCATTCCTTTTCCTCATCCTCAGGTGCGTCTTCCGGGCTGGCAAGGTCGAAGTCATAATAGACGTCCGAGTCCTGCTCAGCCACGTTGGGCAATGCGGGCGGGGACGGGAGGCAGAGGCGTAGGGAGGGCTCTGACGTCACCACGTGAATGGGGCGGAGGTTCGGGTCGTCCACCGGGTCCAACTCGGGGTCGTCCAGCGAGGCATGGCGGCACTCCATGGACGCATAGTGGTCCTCCGGGCCCGGCGTCACCAGGGACGTCTGCTCGAGGGCCACCGAGCCTCCTGACCCCACGCGAAGGCTTGTTTGTAGGCGGCGAGCGAGGCCCTCCGCCCGGGCCCGGCAGTTCATGGCGAGAAGAGAGGACAGACTGCATGGCAGAGGCCAACCGACCTCGGTAACCCCAGGTTTGGCCCCGCCCTTTATCTCAGTCGCCACGCCTTCTTGCATTGCGTCACCCATGTTGTCTCCCGCAGAGGATGACGTCACCGTATACTGCCACCAGCATCGCGATAGGCCTATGAGCGCGTAGGCGGCGGTCGTGGGGGCATCGCACCAGACGGCGACGGCGTTGCAGCAGTGTGCAACGACGGAGGTAGACGGGGCACGTTCTCGCTCCTCCCGCTCTGGCTCCACCCTGCCAGACGATGGCCCCGCCCCCTCCGCTGGCGTCAGGCAGTACGTCACGTGCGCTCTCCCCTCCACCTGCGATAAATATAGCGGTGTTACGATTACCTGAGCCACCAGCCCTTACCCTGCCCCTCATGCCCGCCCTCCTAGCTTTGGTCACGGAAGAAAGGTCACGGACAAAGGTCAAAGTGGTAATGTGCTGCTGGGTGAAAATAACAAAAAAGTTTTTAGGGAAATGAAGTTATCTGCTGCAACTAATGACGTATTAGATATGGTTGTGTGGCGTCCCGAAGCAAGAATGGGAAATGAAAGAACCTCGATGATCATTACTGGAATCAATTGCCCCTCCTCAGCTGCCCATGGTATGGCCCTCCCTCGCCATACTCACCTGTTCACCTGCATCCTCCACCTCCACCTGGTGCCCCTGAACACCATGTAACACAGTCATCCCTCCTCCTCCTGC